GGGTGGGGGGGGGGGGGAGGGGGCACAAAGGATTAATGGGGGGGTGCAAAATGAGGACGTGAGGGGGGCCAGATCCCTGCAGAAGGTAATGGTTAGTGGGATAGATGCTGGGCTTTCTCATTGTTGGGAAGGACTGGAGCTACTGGTGCTGGGAGGGGGAAGGAGGTGGGAATCACTGGCTCTGCCCCACTGGGCCCCGGTTTACCCAGTTGCATGTTGCACACTGGAGGGCTTGAGAAGGGGAGCTTGCGCTCAGCCCAGTGAGCGGCAGGGAGGTGAGCAGGATCTGCCCATGCCATGGGGCTGCGTTCCCAGGAACCGTGCCACTGGGCCCCATGGAATGGCTTCATGGCGCCTGCCCATGGGGGTGGCACGGCACAGGGCAGGCGAAGGTAGCCAGGGGCTCCCATCCGTGGTGTTCCCTGGGGTGCAAAGGGGCTGGGAACCTCCCTAGGGCTGGGATTGTGCAGGGGTCCGGGTGGCAGGGGGGTGTTTGGCTTGGCTGCCAGCACTGTGGGATATAGGGGGACCATGCCACATCCTCCCCATGCCCGCTGTCGCCCTGCACTTGCTCTCTGCTCTCCCCACCCCGATGTTGTACAATTGTCCATGTGGTGCCAGTGATGTGCCGTGCCAGGCTCTGTTGGATGCAGAAGCGGGTTCTTGGGCACCACAGGGAGCAGGATGGGACCCTTGGGCCAAGCTGCTTGTGCTGAGCAGGGTATGAGGTCCCTGATGCCAGGGTGATGTCCTGCCCTGGGGTCCCCAAGCCCCCAGACACACACGTGCTGAGAACTCAGGGGCTGGGACGGGGGCTGCACCAGCTCCCCGCATCTGCATCACCATGCCTGGCATGGCCGGTGGCCCCTGGGGCTCTCTGAGGAGCACCCCTCCGGCCCCCTGGAGCCTGGGGGGCCGGGGGAGCCCCTGGAGCTACAGCAAGCTCCTGGCACCGCGTGCCCAGCCTGGCCATGGCACCCCCAGCTCGGCTGCTCACCGGGGCCATTCCTGTCTCTTGCTCTCCGCAGGGCACACAGATGATTTTCAATGCAGCCAAGGAGCTGGGGCAGCTCTCCAAGCTGAAGGTGAGGGCTGGGAGGCTGGGCTGGGGGGGCCGGGTGGTCTGAGCTCCTCTCTGTGCTAGGGTGGGTGGCACTTTGCAGACTGGCACTGGCACTGTTGCAAGAACCCCACCAGCGCTCGTTTGCTGGCACAGCCGGGGCGAGGGGAGCAGGGCCCTGGTCCCATGCTGAGAGCAGGATTCGTGCCCTGCAGGACCACATGGTGCGTGAGGAAGCCAAGAGCCTGACCCCAAAGCAATGTGCAGTGGTGGAGCTGGCGCTGGACACCATCAAGGTGAGGGCACTCTGGGGTACAAAGGGGTGCCCCTGAGGGCTCTAGCCCTGAGGCACAGACCCAGGGGGGCACTGGGGGGGATCCAGCAGAGCTGCTGAGGACCCTGCGGCTGTCTCCCCCCTCCAGCAATACTTCCATGCTGGCGGTGTGGGGCTGAAGAAGACATTCCTGGAGAAGAGCCCTGACCTGCAGTCGCTGCGCTACGCCCTGTCCCTCTACACCCAGGCCACTGACCTCCTCATCAAAACCTTTGTGCAGACCCAGGCTTCGCAGGGTAGGACGCACTGCCCTCATCCCCTGCCCCTATCCCCACACATGGGCTCGGCTGCCCCACAGCCGGGGCCCCACCCTGCCTCCGTCCTGGTGGGGTTGGGTGTCCCAGCCAGGCTCACGGAGGGGTGGGAGGGATGGGTGGGGAGGGAAGGGCTTTTTCCTCTCATGGTTTGCAGGTGAAGAGGGGCCATGGGTGCCCAGAGGCAGCCGGGTACCCCCAAGTCCCCCACCAGCAAGAAGAGCATGTCCACAGTGCCAGGGCATGGCTGGGCTGGCACAGAAATGGGGCCTGTGGGTGGGGGAGAAGGTCACCCTCTGGCCACGTGTCACAGTGTTTGTCCCCTCTGGATGGCCCCTGTCACCCAGCACAGACACCTCTGGTCCAGCGCTGCCTTGGAGCTGCCGGTCTCGGCAGAGCGGTGCCAGCCTGGCCAGGGCTCAGACCTCTCGCAGGATCAGCTGGATCCAGATGCTGTGCCAGGGCCTGTCCTGGGCACACTGGGTACCCCACATACCCCATGATTTGGGATCTGTCCAGGGTGCCAGGTGCCTCTTGGGTGCTGCCCCTGTCCCAGAGCCATGCGGTGCAGGGTGCTGGGCACCTTCCGGGGCAGGACTACCCCTTGGCTCTAAACGCTGCCCTTTATTTTGTCCCTTGGCTGCTCGAGGAGGGGACAGAGATGCTCGGTGGCAGTCATGGGCCATCACATAGTGACCCAGCCAGGCTTGTCTGTGTCCTCGGGGAGTGGGACGTACGCTTGCTGTCTGTGCGTCTCCTGCAAGGGACATCTGTCCTGTCTGTGCCTCCTGTGCCAGCCATGTCAGGGGCGTGGGGTTGGGTCCGGTGGGTGCCAGCACCCCTGGGTGCAATCTGGCCCCAGGACCCCCTGGGCTCAGAGCTGGGTGGTGCCCGGCACTCCCACGTCGCTGCAGTGTTGTCCAGATGCTCGGCTGTCCATCTGTCTGCGAGATCTGATCTCTCTTTCTCTCTCTTTGTTTTCTCCCCCCCTCTTTCACTGTTCCCATCTCCCACGCACGTTGTCTCCTTCCTCCTCTCTTCGTCTACTCTGTGCTGTGTCTCTGTCTCTTTCTCTCTCCTTCCCACTAGTTCATGGTGGGAAAGGTATTAGGTTTACCCTTAGTGAAGAAATTTATCCTGAGAAGGGTACGTGTGCTACTCACCCACCCCTGCACCTGCCTGCCGCCACCGGCCTGGGCTAGTAACAGTCTGGCATTGCGGGCTGGGGTGGCCAGGAGCCCTGTCCCAGCCTTGGGGACACCTAGCATGGGCAGAGCTGGAGCCTTCCACCCACAGACTCGCACTCCCAGGGCTGTTTTGGGCTGAATTTGGAGGAACTGTGCTCAGCCGTATTGACCCAGACCAGGGAGGGGGCTATGTCCCGTGGGGGTAGGGGTGCCCGCCTTCGTTTGCAAGCTCTGGGCACCCTGCATTGTCCCCAGTGCTGCTGCCTGGGGGTGGGCACCTGCCACGACCTCCCCGCAAGCCAGGGAGCTTGTCCCCTTGGGACATGCGGCCCCAGGGGAGGCCATGTCCCCTTCCCATCCACCCTGCTGCCAGAAGGACCATTACTAGCCTTGCTCCGGCGAGCTCTGTCCGCCTGCGCCGGAGCGTGAGGAATGAGCCCAGCTCCATGGGCCCCGCTTGGCCTCCATCCCACCCTGCCAGAGGGGCCGGGACTGCACCCTATGCTTGGCCTTCTCTACCCAGACACCCCTCCTCACCCGCCATCGCCTCCATTTCGGCTCAGCATGCGGCGCTGCCCGGGTGGCGGGCGCCTGGGGGGATGGGGCACTGGGGGTGGAGCGGAGGATGAAGGTGGATGGAGAGGAGAGTGTGCCATCACCAGCCTCCCCCCCCTGGCCTGGCACCTTCGTGCTGGGGGCCATGCAGTGACACATGGGGGATGTGTCCTCCTTCGCGCTGTTACTTCCACCCTGGGAGCTTGCCGCTGGGCTTGGTTTGATCTCCTTGGCCCCATCTAACCCACGGAGCCTGTCCCTCTGCCTTGCACCCCCTTCCTTCACCCATGGGTGCATGCACGGCTCTTGGGGGGTGGGTGGGCTGGGCTGTTGGTCGCAGGTCACCTGAGTTCCCCAGGCTCGGGGACCCCAGGGCTTGATGTGGTCCCTGAGATGGAAGGGATACAAGAGGGGGCAGATCAGCCCCAAGACCCTGGCAGGGCCATGGATGCCCTGTGGCACAAGGGCCGGATCGGGTCCCTCCTGCCCAGTTCTGTGCCCATGCTCATAGCCATGCACAGAGCACTGACACCCACTCCTGTGCCCATAGTAGGGGGAGCTGGGCCACTGTCCCCTGTCCCATCCCACCCAGGCACCTCGGTCCCTGCCTGGGCAAGGGGGCTCACTGGGCCCTGCTGATGCGGGGTGGGTTGACAGAGAGCCAGCCTGGTGCTGGGGATGTCCTGCCATGCCCTAGCCCAGCCTGGTGCCAGCCCCAGCCGTCCTTGACAGTTGCTGCACCAATGCTGCTGTCCCCAGAACTCTTTGGCAGAGGCCACACTGGGCCAAATCCTACTGCCCACCCCCTCCCGCCCTGTGGAGGGTGACCTGCCTCCTCCAGTGGGGTTGGTGGTGGGCAGGGGACGTCAAGGACACAGGGGGAACGGGCACTCATGTCTCCTCCCCTTGCCACGCAGGCTCTGGTGTGGATGACCCTGTCGGGGAGGTGTCCATCCACGTGGAGCTCTTCACCCACCCCGGCACTGGTGAACACAAAGTCACTGTCAAAGGTGGGTTCTGCTGGCTGGGATGCCGGGGTCTGGCAGGTGGCAGCACCTTGTGAGCCTCATGTGCCCCCTCCTTGCAGTGGTGGCTGCGAACGACCTTAAGTGGCAGACGTCGGGCATCTTCCGGCCCTTCATCGAGGTCAACATCATCGGGCCCCACCTCAGTGACAAGAAGAGGAAATTCGCCACCAAATCCAAGAACAACAGCTGGGCCCCCAAGTACAATGAGAGCTTCCAGTTGTGAGTGGCACCGTGGGGCTGGGGTGTGGGGCCGGGCTAGAGGATGTGTCCCCATGACGTGGGGACCCCCTCCTCCTGGGGTCTGCCAGTGAGTTTGCTCATCCCCCAGGGGATGTTTTAGATGTTTTCTCATTGGTAAAAGCAGGGATTGGGGAAAAGGAAAAAAAAATGAGAAAGCTTTTTTAGGGGCAGTGAGGAGGCAGCACCCATATAGGGTGCTGTCACAGAGCCAGGGGGCCTGGGAATGTGACCCCCTATGCCAACACTGCCCGTTCCTTGCCCCCCCGCAGCACGCTGGGGACAGAGACGGGCCCCGAGTGCTACGAGCTGCAGGTGTGCGTGAAGGATTACTGCTTCGCCCGTGAGGACCGGACCGTGGGCATTGCTGTCCTGCAGCTCCGTGAGATCCTGCAGCGACCTGGCTGTGCCTGCTGGCTGCCCCTGGGCCGCCGCATCCACATGGATGACACTGGCCTCACAGTCCTCCGCATCCTCTCCCAACGCAACAATGATGAGGTGGCCAAGGAGTTCGTCAAGCTCAAGTCGGACACGCGCTCGGCCGAGGAGGGCAGCAGTTAAACCCCTTCCGCCCCCCCAGCCCTCTCTCCCCACTCCTGGCCCCTTTTCTACAGCATCCTCCAGCCATCTATAAGCCATAAGAGCGGCCACAAGAGGAGTCTCCTTCTCGGCCCTGGTGTGGGTGACGGGGGGACGTGGCTGCAGTGACAGACCCGCCCTGTCCCTCCCTTGGCCAGACTGGCTGGGTGACAGCGGTGCAGAGCATGGCCATGCCCCCATCCCACCCTGACGGGAAGGTGCTGGGGCTGGTGGGGCTGCAGGGAAGGGCTGGACCCCAGACTGGGTGATGGGACAGATCTGCCCCTTCCCAGCCTGTCTGAGATGGAGGAACCCCAATGGCTCATCCCTGACCCTACCCTGTCCTACCCAGCCCCAAACCTCATCGAGCGACACAAGGAAAGAGCTGGGGGTGGGCGGGGGGGTGTCTCATCCCACCGGGGGGTGTTGGTAAGTGGCTGTCACAG